GGGTTTAGGGTTAAGGGTTAAGGATTTAGGGTTTAGGGGGTGAGCCCCGTGAAAAAAAACTGCAAAGGAGACTATAGGAAGGGTCTTATACTTACTTCCTCAATAAGCCAAGGGAAAAAGGTTAAACTTTCAGATTACTACTAAACTATAAGAGCCCAAAAAGTTTATATAAAGGTTGGGTATTGGGTAACTAATCCTAAACCCTTAACACCAAACCCTAAAACCCTAAAACCCTAAACCCTAAACCCTTAACACCAAACCCTAAAACCCTAAAGCCCTAAACCCCAAACCCTAAACCCTAAACACCAAACCCTAAAACCCTAAAGCCCTAAACCCTTAAGGGTGTTCAGGGGTGTAGTACAGGAGCCCGGGGTCTGAACCCGAATGCCCAACGCAGTGAAGGGCCCCCCAAAAAAGCACATAAGCAAGAACTAGGATAGGGATATCCCATATAACCCCCCCCTTATAATGAAGCCCAAGAAGGTAGGGTTTTGGGTTTAGGGTTTAGGGTTTAGGGTTTAGGATATCCCATATAACCCCCCTTTTTAATGAAGCCCAAGAAGGTACCGTAAACCCTAAACCCTAAACCCTGCTTATGCTTATGTCCTCTTTGGGTCCCTGAGTGTAGTACAGAAGCCCTTCGTCTGGACCCGAATGCCCAGAGAAGTGAGCCCACTTGGAGGGTCGGGGGCCTTAGTTTTAGGGTTTTAGGGTTTGAGGGGTTTAGGGTTTAGGGTTTAGGGTTTAGGGTTTAGGGTTTAGGGTTTAGGGTTCAGGGTTCAGGGTTTTAGGGAGTCAGGAGAGTCCTTACTTGGCGGGTCTGAAAACTTAGTACGTAGATATCAAGTAGACTTATAAGTACCCTAAAAGGGATCCTAATTGGGGTTGCTAGACTTATAAGCCTATTCAGGGTTTAGGGTTTAGGGTATGAAAGTAGACTTATAAGTACCCTAAACGGGATCCTACTTGCGGTCATGGTACTTACAAGTCTGTAAAATAGCTAGTTACTCTGTCCCCCCTAACCCTAAACCCTAAACCCTAAACCCCTCAAACCCTAAACCCTAAACCCCTCAAACCCTAAAGCCCTAAAGCCCTAAGTCCCCCGACCCTCCCTAAACCCTAAACCCTAAACCCTAAACCCTAAACCCTATAAGCCCCTATAAACCCTAAACCCTACTAAGTCCCCCGACCCTCCAAGCACCCATATCCACGCCGAGCCACTCCGGCCACGGGCAGCCCTTCTCTGACAACACCTGGTGGCTTTCAGATTCTTTTTTTTTAAGTTTGGGGTTTAGGGTTTAGGGTTTAGGGGTTTAGGGTTTAGGGTTTAGGGTTTAGGGGTTTAGGGGTTTAGGGGTTCAGGGGTTCAGGGGTTTAGGGTTTAGGGGTGAGGAGTTTAGAGTTTAGGGTTTAGGGTTTAGGGATACCCCCTTTTTCTGCTCAGATGAAACGAAACCTAAGCAAAAACGATTGGGACATTGGAGACCGCAAGCAGAGGCACCATAAACCAGCAGATCATAAAGTTGTCGAAACTAACACAGCCGAAGAAAGGGCAAGAAACACGGTTTAGGGTTTAGGGTTCCACCTGACATTGCTCCCCGGAGGCTCGATGCAGATGTAGAATAGCATAGCCTACCCCCGCACCATATTCAAACACTTATATAGGTCCCTGAGAGTAGCCCTAGACCCTAAAAATGAAGAAAGAATTGCCTGTAATTTATTGGATCTAGCATGAAAGAACACAAAGACACCAAAAGCCACCAAAGCCAAGCCCTAAACCCTAAACCCTAAACCCTAAACCCTAAACCCTAAACCCAAGACAAGCAAGACAGACACAGACTGCAATTCCGACAGCCACGAGCATCTTTCGGTACCCCGTGTAAAGCTATGTCAGAGTGCCAGTGGCACTTGCCTTAGGACCAAACGATCCTTCTAAAGTACAGGGTGCTGTATTTTGAGGGTTTAAGGGCATGTGGGTAATTCTGGACATAAAAAGGGACCCGAATTTAGAGAACTACCCATATAGTTAAAAAGGGTGTAGGTTTCGGTTATCGGATGTAAGGTTTCATCCAATAAAACTCTCGATGCCCTGTGTGGGCAAGGACACAGAAGATCTTTCAGACTTCATTGGTTCTTAAGCTTAGGGGCTGAGTACCCAAGCCCAGAAAAGGTTAACCTTTCGGTTTATAGTAGGGTTATAAGAGCCCCAGGAGGTTCCCTAAACCCTAAACCCTAAAAGGTTACCTACTCAGCCACTAAGCAAGAGGTCAGAGACACCCACTGAACTTCAAACCCCAGACCCCGACCCTCAGCAACAAGAAAACCAAGACTCTCAAGGCCTCAAAATCAGAGAGGGGCAACTCGCCGCAAGTATGCCGAGCCTCAGCGACCAAGCATAGCTCCCTAAACCCTAAACCCTAAACCCTAAACCCTGAACCCTAAATCCTAAACCCTAAATCGTGGTTCGGTGTTTAGGGTTTAGGGTTTAGGGTTTAGGGTTTAGGGTTTAGGGTTTAGGGTTGGGAGTCGAGGGTC